CCTCAAGCTGTTTGAAGGTTGGCCACCTGCCTCCCTGCCCGCTCCAAGGAGTGAGCAGGCAGAAGGTTTTGCTTACACAGCTGAGCCCACATCCCTGCAAAACCTGGAATTCATTGCTGGGCATATGACAGTGCTGCCCAGTGCACACCCTGGCCACGCTCTCTCCCTCCAGCCTGGAAACCAGAGTCTTTACCTCTCTCCGCCACCCAACAATTACAAGTGTCAGTGGAAAATATGCAGCCTGGCAGTAAACCTGCTTCTTCCCCAGTATAAATGGATTGTAATAACACTTGGGAGAGAAAAAGCTGGCCCACCCAACAGTCCATTTTAAAGGGGATCTAAAGGAACAAGCCAAAAACTTTTTTCAGCTTCCTTTTCCATTGTACCATTGCTATGGATTGCAATTGCAGTTGCACAGAGCAGAGTGAGCAGGACAGGACAGCAGGGAGACTCATGCAGGCTCTTCATGGAGCTCATATACTGTTTTAATTCATTTGCAGGCAAGCCCCAAGATGCTGAAACCACAGTCAACAGGTAGCTGCAAAAGCCAGACTAAAGTTGTCCTTTGGAAAACCATACAGTTTCACTTAAAAAACAAACTCAGAAATTAGTGAGGTCAGCTTGTGAAATACCAGTGTTAGGTTTCTGTGGATCGGATTCCTTTCCCATGTTAGTCATTGCCATGCAATAAGAATTACAAGCACTGGCATCCCTCTGAGGCATCATGCAGACACACAAGAGCCCTTATTGCCATGGATAGCACCAACAAAAATAACAAAAGGGGAGCAAGACATGCAGCTTTTGGCTGCCATAGTCAAGAGATGGCTCAAAACAACTACTCAGAAAAATCAAATTCCTCAGTCCCTGACTAGGGCTATTTGACTTGAGGGTGGAAAGTAGTGTTATTTAAAAAAAAAAGAAAAAAAAAAAAGAAGTAATGCTCCAAGCAACAAGAAGAGGAAGATAGGTAGGTGAGGGGCCACCACCTGAGCTCTTGATAAACATGTTCAGTCCCTTCGGTGTGCACAGGTCACTTCTTCCTTGCAGATGCCACTGGTGTGAACACAGATAAATTACTGAGTCCTGTACACACAAGTCATGCAAGCAAAAAATAGTGTAATCTACAGCTGGGAGCCAAGAAACCCTCAGGGTTGGTCCCAGTACTTACACTGGTTCTCTGAATTTGGGAAATCAATTCACCTCTCTCCACATCTGTGGCTATCACACTTAATATGTGCAGTTCCCATGTGAGAGCAGCATGAAGCAGCTACTGTGCTGAAAACAAAGTTGAAGAGAAGGCTTGAAGTTTTTATTCCTAATTTCTATACTCTAATTTTGTTTGAGGACTGAGAGAACCCCTTTCACTTATACTAAGGAGAATCTGATTTTAAAAGCAGATGCCTATGAAAGTAGCCAGAATCACTTTAGTTAGAACTGCAGAAGAGCATTATCATCATCACCAAACCACTCACAAACCACCAAATCACTCACACAGCACAATATGTTGCACTACAGCAGCAGCTCTCTGTCCAAGTGCTGCTTTCATGGCAGCTCAAGTCCTTGCCTGGCAGCTCATGGCAAACACGTGTGCCTGAAGGAGATGCACTGGGTATGGGCAAGGCCTACAGCACTCATTAAAGCACATATTAATAGTAATGTTTGCTTAGAGACACTGCTCATCTTGCCTGACCATGTAAAAGATGCCTCCTATTTTCCTGAAGGATTTTAGCACAGCAGTTCCCAAGAGAACTGCTTCAGTGGGAGACTGCCAAGCTGAAGATGCAAAGGCCAGTAAGGCTTGTGTTCTGCACATCAGTTTTAGAGTCCATTGTCTTCCAGTGTCACAGTCCTGGCTCACTCTGGTTTGAGCTACAAATACCTGCTGGCCACCTTCAGAAATATGCCTACACACATGAAGAGCAGCTCTACTGGAAGTATCCCTCCAACTCTGCTGAAAGCTTCATTCCTTCTCTCTGTGCTCTTTAGAGAGATGTTGCGTATCTCAGAAGAAAGAAAGAAATTTTAAACCCACGCCGCGTTAACACTGAACAGGCAGCGAGGCTCAATGATGCATTTCGCATGGACTGTACATGTCCGAGGTTAGCGCTGGCCCCAGGACACCACGGGCTGTGTCAGCAGCAAAGGGCGATGGCCGAGAGGTCTCTGTTCACTCACTGTCCCGCCGAGTCCCCGAGGGGCTGCGGCCGCTCTCCCGCCGCCTTCGGCTCCCGCCCGGGCTGCAGGGAGAGGGATGCCCAAAGCCCTGCAGGAACTTTGGCGGGCGCAATTCCCCGTCCCAGGGGCCCGACCCCGCCTGTGCCCCGGTACCCACCTAGACGGAGAACGCGCACAACACAAAAGTTACCCCGTCAAGAGAACCCGGGGACAGCCACCCCAACGCGACCCGCCGCGGGCAGCCCGCGCCGCCGCTCCGTCCCGACCCGCGTCCCCCTGAGCGCCGGGCGCGCTCCGGCTCCCCGCGGCCCCGGACAGACTCACCGGGCCGGGCCGGGCCGGGTCGGCGGCCCCGCTCCCGGGGCTCGGCGCTCACCGGCGCTGTCGGCGCGGCGGCGGCTCCGCGCTGCGAGGGGCAGGAGCCCGCCCCGCCCGGCCTGCTGTGCCGCTCCTTGGTTTGTTGTTTCTCTCCTCCTTCAAACCACCCCCGGCAGCCCTAGGAGCCGAGCCGTGCCCCGGCGGGCGGCAGCGAGCTGTCTGATCTCCTGCTCGGCTCCCCCATTAGCTTCCGAGATGGTGTTGGGCCGAGGGCACGGCGGACGGAGAGGAAATGCGCTCATCTTGCTTCTCGGATGTATTCTGACCTCCTGGTGGTCGTGCCTGAAAGTCAGGAAAGCGGCTGAAACACGGAACCTCGTGTACTGTTCTTATCAAAGCAAAGGAGTAGATCTCGGAAGTGCTGACCCATTTTCGTGCTCCAAGCTGGCACAAGTAGGAGCCTGTGGAGCTGCTAACATCCTCCCCCAGAAGTTGCCCAGAAGTGGTACTAGTTCCTCTGGGGTCATCGTGTATCCTGAGTTGGAAGGGACCCACAGGGTCGGCTCCTGGCCCTGCACAGGACAGCCACACCATGTGCCTGACAGTTTGTCCAAACGCTTTTTGAATGCTGATAGGCTTGGTCCTTGTAGGGGTAAGGGAACTGAGGCACAGCA